TTTTTTTCCTAAGAACATTATTTTCATCTGCTAGTTTGTTTGTGTTTTAGGACTGCCCGAAGAACTAATTCTCAAGAATAATAATAATAAAAAAATACAACAGTCTGGTTCCTTACATGCAAAATATATGGAAGAAGTTCTAAGCAGGAGTTCATGGTTCCTTTTCTGATTAAGTCAGATCCATTCTCTTCCATTTATCCTCATCAGGGTCGTAAATCCCGTCTAACAAAGGGCGAGAGGCTGTACTGGTCGCCAGTCTGTCTCTGGGTCACATGGTTTATGAATAATGAAAAGTGAAATTATGGTGCAGGAGGCTTCTGCAACATTCATATTCTCCTCTAATCAGGGCAGACTTGCCAAAGGTGAAAGTACTTTCTGAAGAAACTCACCTTGGGCAGCAATGCTTTAGACATATTGAACTAATGCTCACAATGCTAATAAACAGAGCACAAACTTTAAACATGAAGAATTTTGATGAAAGCCAAATTACTGCACTTTGCCTCTGTGGCCACAAGAGGGCATCACAGTAACACAATTCTACAAAAAAAAAAAAACCCAAAAAAAGTCTGACTTAAAAGGGTCAATTCACCCCACATCAAAATTTATTTTAATGCTGCCGACTTAAAAAAAACAAAAACAAAAAAATCCTGATGACTTTAGTTAGATCTTCAGATTTAACAAGGCATTGTCTGGACAATAGGTTAGACACTAACTAGCATTTGATCTGTAACCATGAAATAGTTCAAAACAGTTTACAAATGTAAATTAGAGGTCAGTCATTCCCTTTTTCTCACTCCATATAAAACATACATCTTGTTCTTTTAACAAATCTCTTTATTTTAAACTGGCACTGAATATGTGACTGATGTGGGGGGAAAAGAAGAAGAGTCAACCAATACACCAATTAAGATTTTAAAAAGAAATTACAAAAATACTCCTCAGCACACCACACTTGTGTAGAGACTCATTTAACCATCTGATAATAAAAAAAAAAGTCAGATCTAAAATATCAACAAGATAAATACTAACTCCAAACAGGTCACAGGGAAAGTTGTAGCAGGGGAATGCAGCTTGTTACTTTGACTAGTAAGCTAGTAAAGTATACCAACATAGTATCCACTTCAGTAAACTCCACACTCGTGATTCATCTAAACTACCTGCTTGTTCAGTTTAAGCTTACACACGATTATGAATAGAGAAGTTTCCTTAATCCATCAATATTTACATCATACAATATTAAGTGCGGCCTTTAACAGTAGCTAGAGGCAAGGCTTGCAAAGAGCTTAAGTTGTTGGCTGTGCACAAAAAAAACAAAAAAAAAACAAAACCAGACGTTTTGTACAGTGTGGATAAGTTAGTGATATATTTTTTTAGCATATATATTTAAAAAAAAAAAAAGTGTTTACTGCTCTTCTGCTCCTTGAACATCCTCAGCAGTGTTAAAAGGTGCTCCTCTCTTTAGCTACAGCCTCATCGCTTTAAAGATAATTTTAAAGAAGCCACTCACACGCTTGACCAGCTTAATGCAACACAATTCGCTGAGAGCAAATATGCATTGTCCTCATTTTGGTCCATATTGTTTCTACAGCTAATAAAAACAACACATCATTACACCTCTGGAAACCTTTCAACCAATTACAACCTGAAGCATTCAAAAGTAACACCCATGCTAGTGGAGAGCTTCATTCATTGGCAGGGATATAAACATGTTCTGACATGGTCTGAATATTTAATCTACTCAAACCATGTCTTACCTCCTTTGTTCTCTGTAACATGTTATATAAACACACTTCATAAAATGATAGCAGGCTACACAAGTGTTAAAAAAAAAGAAAAAAAAAAAAGACAAGACAGCAGGTCAGTGGCAACTAGCCTTAAGGGAGCACCAATTTAGGGGCCGAGGGAATGACAGCATGTCCCCGGCCATCTCCCCCCGTGAGTCCACTCTCACTGAGGTAACTTTCTGTTGGCCACAGCATCCAGCTCTACGCTGGAGAGGAAACGCCTGGACAGCCGGTGACAGTTGTAGCTCAGCTCTGTGGTATAGATGGTGCTGGCTTTCTTGGGGTAGATGATGGTGGTGCTCTTGAACTGCTTGGGACGATGGCGAGGCTGGAACTCTAGCTGTGTCACGTAGTGGCGCCAGGTGCTGTTGGACACAGCCATAATGGTCTGCCTGCAGTGTTCGAGGCTTTGGCCCCACGGCTCCAGGCTGACATTCTGGATGAAGTGGCGGTCTGAGTCATAGTGCACTGAGGAGGTGTATCTATGGATAAGAGAGAATGCAGCGATTTTAGTCAAACAAAATACAGTAAAGCTAACTCGTGAGCCAACAGTGCCACTTTTCTCTTGTACATGCTTTTTGGGCTGTCACATCAAAGACAACACACCTCATTTCCTTTGGTGGTAATGGATCAAGTGCTATGCCTTCCCCGAAGGACAGCGGGTGTAGCTGTGGGAAAGATCCAGCAGGTAAAGCTGGAACCTGCAAAACATGAAACAGACCCTCAGTGGATACATGGGACCTTTGGCCCAGTTCAGAGCCACAGGCGCTTTAAACAAGACGTTTTGGTTTTTTACGCATATAAACAAATAACTTACAAAAAA